GCTCACACACATACACCTTGAGTTAGTCTAGTTTCTAAGTCACGTAACACAGTTGGATGAAACATTCGTCTTAGCCCCCAAATTTTATTATATATGTATATAGTTGTAAGACCTTTTTAAGAAAATTATTAAGATTAATCTTAAAATATTTATGACCCTTACTAAATCGTCTATGCCCCCAACATTTCAGGACCGGCCCTATCTGGCCATGTATCTAGATAATCTAGGAGATAAAAACCAAACCTGAGACATCTTCTCTGTCACGGAGTCTCTGAAGAACCAGTCTAGCTTCTTCCATACGACCTTTGCTGACAAGCCACCTTGGAGATTCAGGCAAGAAGAAAGCCGCAAGAAGAAAGGAGAGAATCGAAGGAATAGACAGAACACCAAGCATCAACCTCCAGCTAGGAGATTCTTGAAGGGACATTCCAAAGACAAGACAATAGGAGAGAAACATGCCACCAGATCCACAGAACTGAGGGAAGGTGTTGAGCAAACCTCTGATCTCAGAAGGTGCGGTCTCAGAGATGTAAATGGGGACGAGAGTGACGGCAAGACCGATACCAAAACCATCAAGAAGCCTTGCGAAAAGGAGAACGTATACATTGGGAGACCAAAACATGACGATGCTGCTTAGGAAATAGAGAAGAGAGGAGAGGATAAGCATTGAACGGCGTCCTACACGGTCAGAGACAGGACCAGAGAATGTTGTGATCATAGTGGCTCCAATAAGAGACATGGCTACGATTAGTCCTTCGATTTTTGGTTCTTTCTCTAAATGAAACTCTTTCTTTATGTAAATTACAGCTCCTGTTACCATATAGAATCAACATGATCAAGTATTGGTTTCGTATTAATGTAAAAAAAAAAAAAGGAGAAGAAAGATAGACCTGCAATGGTGGCATTGTCCCATCCCTGCAACATGTTCCCTATAGCAGCGGCCAAAGCAACAAGCACTACGCTCCTCATCTTTTTTATTTTTCTCTTTAAATGTGATATAACTTCCTAGGATCAACAATGCATTTGATAAAAAATCATATGTTTCTTCCTTCAAAACAAGATGCTGTGGTGTTTCAGAATCATGTCTTTTGAGAAACCAAGAAAGAGAGAGAGAGAGGAAAATAACAAGAGTTGTTAATGTGATGATTAATCAGAAGCATGCATGCAGCATTTGAGATGCGGTAATAACGGTAAGAGACAGAGAAAGGAAGTTGGTTGGTCAAGAGATGAGAAATAAAAGGGGGAAGGTAATGCAACAAACTTTCTCCTTTGATCGGTTCTTCTGTCAGCGCGAAAGTTACGACTCTTTTTATATATTTTCTGTAACGTCTCCACATGCTAAGATAGGTTCACCTCACAGGTCTATCGTCCTATCTCCATAATCATTTTTTTCTAAATATTAGTTGCATATCTATTTTCAGGATCCGACAAAATCGTAATGAATATATATACTGTAATTCTATGTGTTTACAAAACTGCTAGGGAACTGAGTGGATACAATACATATGATGTAATTCTATGTGATTACAAAACTGCTATGGATATGGATACAATCGGTATCTTAAACACATATGTACCACTTAAAAAGAGAAGCATTGATATGATATGTTTTCATTATAACTAGTGGTTTTCCCGGGCGTAGCCCGGGTTTTCTTATATAAATTTTTGTTTAATTTAATTTATTATATTAATTTTGAATATATATAATACCTATATATCAATTTTTAAAAATATAAATCATAAAATGAAATTTAAATTATTAAATTGTAAACGAACTAATAATGACAATAGATGTTATATGTTTTTGTTTTAATTATGCTAAGATTTTAAATAAATTTACATGATATTTGATCAAAAACTGTAATGTTTAGATGTGATTGCTTGGTTATTGTTTGATGAACTATTTTTGACAAACTGATGTATTTAATAATGTCTTTGTATAGATAATTGTTTTATTCTTAAAACTTTTGACAATGTCTATTATAGTATTTTTTTAATAAAATTTTGTTTTTGCATGTTGAAGCGGGTAATATTTTTCTCCAATTTACTGAACAAAAAACTATAAAATATCATACCTGGTAATTCAAATTTATATAAATTTATATTATTAGTTTAGTTTAAAATTTTAAAACTTTTTTGAATAAATAATTGTATATTTATTTTTGCCAACAATCGTATATTAAAGTAGTGTATATTAAATTTTGTAATATAATCATTCATAACTACAATAATGCTACTACACTGAGTCTAGAATACTTGATAGTTTTAAACAAAATTATATACTGAACTTTTTGTAAGCTTACATGCATTACAAATGCTTGCATGACATTTTGATAATTACTACAATTTGATTCTTGAATAATTATAGTAAACATGTGATAACATTTGGTGGGGGTTATTGATTCCACTATTTAATGGATTTAGAAAAACATTTGGATTTAGAAATCTTTGATAAATCTTATGATTTAAAATCGAGCAAATAGATTTAAGAATCAAATATATTGATTTCAAATGAAAATACCTTTTTACGAAAATCAAGGATATCCAAATTTTAATAAATCATATGATTTTAAAATCGAGCAAATATATTTAAGAATCAAGGATGTTGATTTCAAAATGATTTTAATTTTCGTTTCGTTTTGTTTTTTACTTTCGGTTTTAGAAGTGTTGTGTAATTCAGTTTTTCCTCGTTTTGGTTAAACTCTTGCTGGAGATTTTTCTTTTCTTTTAAACTCGCATTTTACGGAAATATTTTGGAAATTACGGATATTGATTTCAAAATGAAAATAGATCTAAGAATCAAGAATATTGATTTTAAAATCGAGCAAATAGATTTAAGAATCAAGGATATTTATTTAGATAATTCATATTTAAAGATATGAAAGTTGTCATCCATCTTGAAGAATATGTTGAAAGTGAGAAAGTTCCTTTTTTAATTTACGGGACTAAAAATATTTATTAAAAATCATATATTTGTAAAAATAAATAAAAATTCAAATAAAATTAAAGATTTTTATAATTGGACCTAAAATAATTTGAACAAATGATAGAATGACAAGTATCATCTTATGCCTCTATGAAGAGAAAAAACTCTACTTTACTATATAAGAGATGTATAAATATTTATTTTAGAAAAATTTAAGAAATATTTTATAAATAATAAATCATATATCACCATTACAATATAAATGCATATATAATATTAATAAAAAATAAACTAAATATAAGTGCATTGTAAAAAAATCACATTAAATTATATATATCATTTGTTCATAAATAAAAATATATATTAAAATGATTTGTAAATTTTCCTTAAAATAGAAAACTAAAAAAATAATAATGAAATAGAAAATTTGTTTTAATTAATGTTTAAATTTTTATTAAAATGTATTGGTTCATTAAGTAAACTAAAATTTGTTACATATAATAAATATAAAAATATCATTAAAAGAATGTGACACATGGCATTTCCCCCCCCCCAAAAAATGAAAAAAACCAACTTTATTATATAAAATTTCAGAGGATGTATATATTTTTTCTTTAAAAAAATAAAAAAATATATATACATCCTCAAGCCGAATAAGAATCAAGTTTTTATTGAAGAAAATATCATCAAATCTTTTTTTTTTTTTGCTATACCAGCCTCAGTTTTAGACATATGTATCTGTTTATTTATATTCCAAAAGTCATATATTTTTGTAATTTAAATATCTATTTTTTATTTATTAGAAATTTAATTTTTAATTTTCAAATGATCGTTTACATTGCACAAACTCATACTAATACACTACGGAATTTAAAAACTACAAACTCTATGTCCAGTCAGTTTTTACAGTTTATAAATTTTCTTATGTTTTGTAATCAGTCAGTTTTTACAGTTTATAAATTTTCTTATGTTTTGATTACAAAACACATTCAAAAGTACTTGTGGTTTTACTTTTTTTTTTTTTTACTTGTACCAGAAGAATTTACTCGCCTAACATCTAATTACTAGAATAGCGGCAAGTTACATTCTCACCCTCAGCACATCGGTCTGATTGCCTCTGACCGAGAATTGTCAATATTTATTTTAAATCAAACCGGCGTTAACACCCAACCCGGTCTTGTGTATTAGTTAGGGGTGGGCGCAAGGCGAGTACTTGCTATTTTGCATGTACTCGCGATTTGACTTGCCTTGTACGAATCTAAAATTTTCGACTTGTACTTGACTTGTTTAAAACGAGTACTTACTATTTCGAGTACTTGATGAAAAATAAACGACTTGCAAATTACTTGTCTTGCCCTATTACTTACTATTTACGAGTACTTGTGCACTATTTACGAGTTTTTCGAAATATTTAACAACTCCTAACTAAATAATATTCTGTTAGAAATAGACATGAAAATTTGTTTTGTTTATTTTAAAGTAGAATATTTGTTCATATTATAAAAACAAAATAAATTAAAAAATGCATATTATGGTATATAAACATTGTATAATGATCACGATAACAAGAATATCTTCTATAGATAAGTAACAAGTAATAACAAATCATATTACTAAATTTTTAATATTTGTTGCTGTGTAATTCTTGACTAGATAACGACGAGTATTCAAAGATCAAGATTGGATACAAAATAAGTAACAAATATAAGAAGAGTAGTGTGTATTTATGTCTAGTCCTAAATGCAAGTAAAAGAAAAGACAAATATGAAAAACTAATTAATAGATTATGTAACAAATAGCAAGTAATGGAACAAGTAGCGGGGCGGAACGAGTCAAATACAAAATATAATAATGATACTTGATACTTGACTTAGTCTTGCAAGTAATGAAAATTGTCGCCTTGTTACTTGCCTTGACAACACTGAGTACTTGAATTTTTAAGGCGGGTACGAGTCAAATACCGAGTTTAAGGCGAGTAACAAGTAATGATGTCCAGTCCTAGTATTAGTATGAGTGTGATTTTAAACCGGTATTTACGGTTTGACGTTAGAATAAAATCATAAAAAACCCAAACCGACTCTCGATCTTCTTCCCGCAACCTTCATAATCCATCTGCTTTCCCAATTCTCTGCTCCGAGAAGCTCCTGAAACCCTAGACGTCGACAGCAGGTAATTTTCAATCCAACAATCTCCAGTGAGATCTTGATTTTCACATAGTTATTAGTCAATTCTCTGTAGATTTATTCGTCTTTGATCAAAATCGTTGTCTACGGTTTATTGTAATCGAAAGCCTCAAGCTTTGACTTTTGATCTGCGCAGAGATGCAAAACTCGAGGATCCCACCGTTTACCGAATCGAAGAGAAAGAAGAATCAAAACCCAAAGCAACAACAACCTTTGACTCAGTTACAATCACGAATCTCGAAAAAGTCTTCAACGAGGATCAAACCGGACCAAGTTCACGCCTTTTCCCATCACCAAGACATGTTTAGTTCAGATTCATCAGAGTACAGAGCACTGAGGCGTAACTACTTGCTGCTAGAGGAAGAAAGCTTCACATTGGAGAGAGAGTTGAAGGAAGTGGAAGATGAGGTTAAAGCACTTGAAGATGAGAAAGTTGTGCTTTTGGATAAACTCGTTGTAATGGAAGGTTTAGTTGATCCTTGATTTGGGTCTTCAAGCTCCCTGATGGCTTATTCATGTGTTGCTTATGTACAAACAAACCCCTTGTAATGAAAGGTTTTAGTTGAATCCTTGATGATGCTTAAAGCTTAGCAACTTGTCTTGTCTGATGGCTCATTCATGTGTACTTTATGTACAAACCAAAGCTCCTGATGTCTCTCATTCTTGTGTAGCTTATGTACAAACCCGTTGTTGTGAAAGGTTTTTGTTCATCCTTGATGATGGTTAAAGCTAGCAACCTGTCTTGTCTGATGGCTCATTCATGTGTATACACACCAAACTCTATATAGTAACATGTTTCTTAGTACAGTTTTGTACTGTGAATCTCACTTCTTGTGTCTTTTGTCTTTACATGTTAATCAAAAGGATCCTCTTGTTGGGCACCACGTGTCTCTCATCTACACTAGGATGCTAGATATAGATAAAATAGATTTTCAAGAACTGCAAATGTGTGGCTGAGACTCGTTTTACCTCTTGAGAATCTGTTTCAGACCAAAGCCTAGTGCTTTCATCTTCTTTGTAACGGGCTCATGGCCGCGTCTCTGACGTCTCTTCCGACCACTTTGTGTCTTAGCCATGGTGATGAGTGTTGCAAACGTTCACCCACCTTAGGTCATTCTCTTGCGGTGAAGAGGAGGAACGTAATGGGTCACTACGAGCGTAATACAGTGAGGAGATTGGTGGTGACAGCTGCGACTAAGGGTTCTAGAAAGTCTAAAGAGAGTCAACCGTCTTGGGCGAATCCTGACTCGGATGAGCCACCTCCTTGGGCTAGAGAGGAAGGTCGTTCTTCTACTTCCCAAGAGAGCTTTGAGGTTCCCTTCTATGTTTATCTGCTTGCCTCAGCTATCACTGCCATTGCTGCTGTATGCTTCTTCTCCCTCTATTTTATATAACCGATTTATGTTGAAGATGTTATTAACTTTATGTATGTTTTGGTGAATCTAGATCGGTTCTGTTTTTGAGTACTCGAGTAAGAATCCAGTGTTCGGGGTGTTGGACTCTGACAGTATCTTTTATACTCCTGTGCTTGGGTTCTTTGCTTTTACTGGAATCCCTACGTCTGTGAGTTCCTTCTCTATATCTCTCTTTGATCTTTTGTGTTGTTTCATTAGTTGAACAAGTGGGTTCTGTCTGCAGATATTCCTATGGCTCAAATCAGTTGAAGCTGCTAATAAGGAAGCTGCGGAACAAGATAAAAGAGATGGATATCGTTAAAACTATGTGTGGGTTTTTGCAACTTTTACAGTGATTGTTGTTGTCTTCCTCCTCCACATACTTATGAAGCTACTTCTGCATTGTTAAAAGGGAGATTGTTTATGTACACAGTTCACTTCACTATATGTAATAACCCGCATGAATTGTTTTGTAAGTGATTCTATCAATGTCATGTTCCCAAGGAGTAAACGCAGCAGCAGTAGGTAGACAAGTAAACTAGTTAGTGGTAGAAGCTGCCTGCTATTTAATACTCATTTTAGGATTCCCCAGTAAATGGAGGCATCTTGGTTTAGACCACATAAAGCTAGTTTCATCTCTCTCTTTTATTTGTCCAAGATTTCAGATCAACAAGCAATCAAAGAGTTTAATATGCCATTGGAGATTTACCCTGTCGAAAGGAGCTGATTACAGTAGTGAATGTGTTTGCAACACAGATTCAACTTGGGTTGTGGAAAGACATTGCTTGCTCTCATTGTTGGTAGGTGGCTGGAAACAAACTATCACGTGAAGGATGGCCCCTTGGCCCTTGAAACAAAGAGCAAGGAGAGTCATCACTGTTTAATTGATTATTAAGAATATGATGATACTGGAGTTGAATATAAATGGAAGTCAAACTCTACGCTTCAATCTATAGCAAAGAGAGGAGAGTGCCTTTGGAAGATCTCATCATGTGGTATGGGAAAAAACTGCTAAAGCATATGAAATGAATGTCAACTACCAACTGTCAAATGTTAGAACCATGATTACATATTACACAAGACATGGCCCAAAAAGTAATCTGATGTACTTAATTAGTAGTACACGTTCTAATGAAAATGAATGGGCTCTTTAAATAAAGATGGGTTAGTTAAAGATTTGGTTGGTTGGTTGGGCTCTCTCCCAACTCCCAAGAGAGAGAGAGAAAGAGACAGATCTCTCTAGGAGGATCTACTACAACAACACATCTGTTCGTTCGTTGGTCTGTGAAGAAGCGGACAAACCAAAGAAAGAAGAAAACAACCGAGTGACATGGGCGGATACAGAGAGTTCGGAGCTGATGAACAACATTCCTCCTCCTCCTCCTCAAACCTATTCCACTCCTTCATCGCCATAGCCATCTGGCTTGGCTCCATTCACTTGAACGTCGCTATTGTTCTCTCTTCCCTCATTTTCCTTCCCCCTTCTCTCTCCCTCCTGTATGTATACACACACACACCCTCTCTCTCTCTTTAAAAACAGAGTTTTTTTAACTTTTGTCTCCTCTGTTTTTTTTTTTCAGGGTCTTGGGTCTGCTCTTTCTCTTAATCTTCATCCCCATCGATGATCGTAGCAAATACGGTCGTATCCTCGCTAGGTACTCTCCTCCTCTGCTTCCATCTCCACGTGTTCTTGTATTCATCTTTTGTTTTGTTTTTTTTTTGTCAGGTACATATGTAAGCACGCGTGTAGTTACTTCCCAGTTAATCTCCATGTAGAGGATTACGAAGCTTTCCAGCCTACTCGTGCCTATGGTAAAGTTTCAAGCTTTCTTTAAAGATGAGTCTTTTGTGTGTGTAAAAGTGTTGACTTTTATGCTTCTTCTGTTATTTACAGTGTTTGGTTATGAACCACATTCTGTTTGGCCTATTGGAGCTGTTGCACTTGCTGATCTTACAGGGTTTATGCCTCTTCCTAACATCAAAGTTCTTGCTAGTACTGCTGTGAGTTTGAATCTCTTCTTCTTTAATTTCTTTTTTGTGTGTGACTTTGTCTCTCTGAAACTCTAGACTTGATGTTTAGGTTTTTTACACACCGTTTCTGAGGCAAATATGGACGTGGTTAGGGCTGGCACCTGCTTCTAGGAAGAGTTTCTCTTCCTATTTGGATTCTGGTTATAGTTGTATCCTTGTACCTGGTGGTGTTCAGGAGACTTTTCACATGAAACATGATGTTGAGGTATATCTACTTTGTTGAATTCACTTGTGCTTTTGAACAAGTCATATTGTTTTGAGTTTAGTTCAAAAGTTATGAAACTTGGAGACTTAGCTATCTCTATATTGTGATCTATGTTTATTAAAAACCTGTTTCTCACATTGCAGAATGTCTTCCTTTCATCAAGAAGAGGATTTGTGCGCATAGCCATTGAACATGGGACACCTCTGGTTCCAGTTTTCTGCTTTGGTCAGGTAAGTAAATACAACAAATGTTGTGGCTCTATGTAGTTATCTTCCAGTTTCCTTTTGTTTCATGTCTTTGTTTCTTCTGCAGTCACGAGTGTACAAGTGGTGGAAGCCAGATTGGAGCCTCTACCTTAAACTATCAAGAGCCATCAAGTTTACTCCCATCTGTTTCTGGGGTGTTTTTGGGTAAGTGTATGTCTTTGTTTGGGGTTACATAACATTTAGCGTATAAAATCTTGAAAGAGGTAAAAACTATTCAGATTTCGTTTTACAGATCCCCAATACCATTTAGACACCCTCTACATGTGGTGGTTGGGAAACCAATAGAAGTTACAAAATCTCTGAAGCCAACTGATGAAGAGGTTAGTTCCCTCTTGTTCTTAGATGTTACTTTGTAGAATGCTTCTTTGAGTGTTCAGCATATCAATAACTTATTGTGCATGTCAGATTGCTAAGGTGCATGGCCAGTTTGTGGAAGCGCTGAAGGATCTGTTTGAGAGGCACAAGGCTAGAGCAGGCTTCTCTGATCTAAAGTTGAACATTCTTTGAATAAAAACTTGTCAAAAATGGTTTATGTAATATCCTCAAAATCATTTTGTTAACTTGGAGCTGGCTTTGGATTTTTACCTATGTACGTCTTATATCAACTTTGGCTTATAAGACCCATCGACTCTAAATATCATTGGTAGATCAGATATTCAGATGATGGTTGTTTACACGTAAGAACTGTTGTGTTATACAGAAAAACTAACAGTTAGATAACTAATATCTTCATGTGTATCAAATTGTGACACCTCATGAGTCATGTCACACATCATGAGTCAGTACTGTGACACGTGCCTCCTGTTCTAAGCACCTTTCAAGAAGAGAAAGAGAAAAATACTGAAAAATAATAAAATTTGCAAGAAAACGACATGAAAACCAAAATCACACGAAGCTACATCACGTTCTACAAGTTACAACTCCTTCAAGAATCAGTACAACTACTTCAACTATTATTAATGGTTGCATCTACTACAAAGGTATTACAGATAACAAACCAAGTAGTACACTGAAGTGTTGTTTTGTATAAAATAAACAAAATAATACATAATCTTATACACTCTTCATAGTAGTCGTAGTATCAAATACACAAATCCAAAACTCTAAATGAATAACAGCAAATAAAACAATAAATCAAATAGTTTAACAAATAAAAATTTGAAAGAGAGACTAAACCAGTCTCCTATTGGATGAGCTGGTTAACGTCCCTTAGGATTCATGATCTGAGAAAACACAGCACTTGGAGTGAGTCCATCTGAATCTTCACTTGCCAAACTCCGACCACCGATGCTCATGTCTATTCCACTGCTCCTCGAGTCAGTGACATCCCCTTCATATACATCAGAACCCTTCTCGTTCATGTCCTTCCCTTTACAGTTCTCATCCATGTCCATCTCATTGCCTATCCCCTTCCCGCTCTCTTCTGCGCTTTCCTGAAGCTGCAACGCGAACTCTAGGTTCCACAAAACATCTCCCATGGACGGTCTCTCAATGCCCTGGTCTAGTACACACTTCATCGCAGTCTCAGCAAACTTCTTGAAACATTCTGGTGTGATCTTGCCCTTGAGATAAGGATCAACGATCTGATCAAGCATGCCTTTCTTGTAACAGTACGGTGCCCACTCAGCTAAACTAACTTGTTCTTTCGCCAGTGTCGGGTTCAAAGCAGGCCTTGCGCACAAGGCTTCGAAGAGAACAACACCAAAGGAGTAGACATCAGATTTATCAGTTAGTTGCTGTCTTCTAAAGTACTCTGGATCAAGATAACCGAAACTTCCTTTCACGACCGTGCTTACGTGTGTGTGGTCAAGTGCAGGACCAGTCTTTGACAGACCAAAGTCAGAGACCTTAGCCACCCATTTCTCATCGAGCAGAATGTTTGTTGTCTTCACATCTCTATGGATGATGGTGTGTTTTGCACCAGTGTGGAGATAGTGTAGCCCTCTAGCTGCACCAATGCATATCTCAAGACGTTGCTTCCAAGGAAGAGGAGAGTTCTGTGTTTTGTAGAGATGCTCTCTCATTGTCCCATGCGCCATGTAATCATACACTAAGATCATCTCACAGTTCTCTTCACAGTAACCTATCAAAGACACAAGGTGACGATGTCTAAGCTTTGAAAGCATTTCAATCTCTGTCTGAAACTCATGCACTCCTTGCTCAGACATAGGGTTCCCTCTCTTGATAGCTACCTTTGTAGTCCCACCATCTATCTCTCCTCTGTACACCTTACCAAACCCTCCAACACCAAGCACCCTGGACTCATCAAAGTTCTTAGTAGCAGCTTTGATCTCAGCAAAGGAGAAGTGACGACAAAGATTTGAAGGAAGGGAGGAGGCATAGCTTCCCGTTGTGTTTGTCTTTCCAGAGCCACCAGAATGTGAGTTTCCGTACAAAGACAAAGGAAGCCACCCTGATGTTGCATCACTTGAAGGCTGGTACTCACCAGCCTTACGTCTCCTGTAAGCAACAATTGCAAACAAACAAACCACAAGTCCTAAAACAACTGCACCACTAGCAGCACCCGCAACAACAGCTTTGTGCTTCTTGGATTCACCAGTACGCGGAATCAAGACTTTAGATGGATCTGCAGTGACCTTAGGACCAGGTATAGGATTAGGACCAGCAAGATTACCATCAGAAGTATTCATCTTGAATATCTCAACACCATTAAGAATAGCATCATAGTACTCCGGCTTGTTCGTCGGATTTGGATGAAGAGCAAGCCACAGATCTTGCTGTCCCTTTCCATCCGGAAGATTCACAACATAATCTTTATGTAACGGAATCCCATGTCCATCTGTCCAGCCAGCAACATCAGCTTCAGGCTCAGCCGTTAGATTATTAAGATAAACAGTAAACACCCTCTGATTAATCTTAGTAATATTAGGAGCAACCTCACAGAAATGAAGCCTCACTAAGTAACTAAAACCAGAGTCAATACTAAAGATCCAAGTGAGATTAGAGTTGAGATTGGTCTGAGCAGTTGGACCCATTGACCTAGCAGTGGAGTAAACATCAACAGGAGCAACATAAGTAGGCGTGCCAGGAGGATACGCAATAGTCATATTAGGATCAGCAGTCTCAGTGATTCCAAGACCCGCACCAAAGATATAAGGCTGATCATCATACCATGATCTGTACAAGCCTGTATCCTCTGAAGGTGAGATATCATTCCCTCCAACGTTGAGTCTATAAACATTCTCAAGAGCAGTGGTGTTGTCTATAGTGACTCCACTAGAAGTTCCCACAACGGTTAAAGACCCATCTGTGCTGCTGTAAAGATCAGGCATCGAAGTGATCTCAATCCCGTTAACAAACGCATAGGTATTTGAAGGTTTTGACTCTGGCGTGAACGTCACGTTTAATGCTCCATCTTCAACGTTTACAATGAACTCTTTAACGATGTAAGAGAAAGTCAACGCTTGTGCTGTTTGGGAAGCGCTGAAGTTCTTGAGGAGAGTGTAGGAGCCGGAGGAGACGGTGAAGAGGGAGTTAGTGGCGTTTAGACCGTCGTATGAGTTAGGGTAGAAGTGGAGACGTATGAACTTGCGACCTGATGAGACGGGGAAGGAGTATGTGAAGGGAGAGCTGAAGATTCTAGCTGTCATGTAAGGGACAGAGGGGACGGAAGGGTCTTGTGTGGCGGCGGGAGATGTTTTGGAGTCTTCGGAGGAAGAGAGGAACTTTGATTTGATGTCGGGGATCCATGTTCGGTTGTCTGTGTCGGTTAGATCAGAAGAACCGCCACAGTTCAAGAAGATCTTGTCGGTGGGAGAGTAATCAGCAGCTGAGGTTAAAGTAGTTGTTGATAAGAGGAGAAGAAGAGACACAAGAGAGAGACGGGGACGTCTCTCCATCGATCAGAGCAGCAGCACACGGATGAGATGAAGATGTTCTTCTTGATCTACAGAACAAGAAACCAAACGGATCTAAAAATGGAAAGTTCAGAGAGATGCACATGTTTAATAGTAGGAGAGTGAAGTGGAGATGAACATACCTTAAGAATCGGTGAAGAACCCTATAGCCGATGAACTAGGAGGAGATTTGGAGAAGACAGTATCTAGAAGAGAGGGTAATAGAGAGAGAGAGAGAGAGAGAGAGAGAGAGAGAGGTTGGAAAAACAACTAAAGAGAGGAGGAGTGGAGAAGTAGGTAAAGTTAAGACGACAAAACCAACAGACAGCTTTCTTTTTGTTGCCTGTTTCAACGCGTAAACGTTTAGTTTAATATATAAAATTTATGACAATTATCTCACTCAATCTGAGACATTGCAGCCGGCTTGAGAAAGACGTTGCAATGACGATAGTATCCTTAAGAGTAACAGCTGTTATTACGTGCTCAACTGTCAGAGGATAATGTTATGGAAACGCGTATTTTTTCTCTTTGCGGTGACCAACCCTCGTGGCTGAGCTGGTCCGCAAAAAGACATAACTAATGTCATAGAGGAGAGGTGAGGTTAGCTGAAAGTAGTGTCCTCAGCAAATACTTGCCTTAAATTAGAAAAAAATATTGTTATGATATATAAATGTTCTTATAAAAATATGGTTACAAACAACAATTTCTAGCCCTCAGCAAATACTTGCCTTAAATTAGAAAAAAATATTGTTATGATATATAAATGTTCTTATAAAAATGGTCAATTTTCAGAAAATTGATTCTGATTTTTCCCATATCAGAACCGATATTGGCTGAAAGTAAAACTTTTTATTTTATAAAGCTTTTCAAGATTACATTCCATCAACAAATTTTTGATGACTGCTGACTTTTTTACCAAGAAGGCAATGAAGTCACAGGATTTTCATAAACATGAATGAACTTAATAGGGAGATGAGCTTAGAAGTAGCACCTTTGAACCAATGCAGTGTCTCAGCTACCTCAAGATCTATATATAGCTCACATTGTCATCAGCACCTAACAATAATATAAATAAAGAGGAAGGCATAACTGTTCAGGGATTCATCATTTTCTACTCTAAATATGAAAATTGATATACAGATTTAAGGCAGTAACGGTTACACCCAACATGTATATTCTTGCCGTTCTGTTCATGAAGATTCCACTCAATTTAAGTGTTGGCTCAAAGAAACCCTAGAGAGATCCTAAATGGGAAAAGGAAGTGAAGTACAAAACTGAATGCCTTGATATACAAAGTACACAAAATATGAAACAAACACAGCTTCTGGTTGGGAGACTCAAGTACAAAATATGTTAGAAAAAGAATAAAGAGATTAAAAAGTACCATGTGGTTATGACTCTTTTAAGTAATAGTTTTTCCATCCACTGATATAAACAAATATTCTAGTCGTCCAAGTCATGATCCCAGCAGTCTCAGCTTGGAGCCCTCGCTGTTAAGCCGTTGGCAGAGATGCTTACACGATTTGCTGCATTGCCTGCACGGTGATTCCTCAGGAACAGACAAAATCCACAAGCTCCACCAAAGACGGATAGTAGTCGGATACTAACAAAAAATAGGCGCCGTTAATGGGCGTCACTAGCTTTTCATATGAGGGAAGGTGGATCACTGATAGTGTGGCTTCTTCTGAACTAGAGCCAACCATTTCGAAGACCCTGCAGTAGTAAAACACAGCTTAACAACAAACAACTCAAGCAAAACCTACTAGAGAAACAGAACAGATGAAGCAGAGACCTTACAAATTGTAAGGGAATATAGTTATAATGCTTTCAAATCTTTTCATGTCGCAGACATCACACTCACTTACAAATGAACACAGCACACTAATGTCAAACATCTGCCAGATTAGTCCTTAAAACAGGTAAATTTCATAAAGACCACCATAGCCAATAAGTATATATTTACACACTGTAAACAAAACCCGCGATTCGACTATTACTCAAGAAGCTAGCATGACTAACTTTGACGGATATCATTATCATTGCATAGTTCAATAAACAGGAAAGCACATGCTAGATAATATCATTTTGAATAAAAGTGGAAACTAATAGCTTTGAGCACGTCTTCAGTTTTCATGTAGCCCTTGATTGAATAAAAATCCATACATTTCCACTCCTCATTGTCACCAGCAGAACATGTTTTACAGAAATCAAAAGCTAAAAATTTACAATTTCCACAAAACTGAACACAGCTTATACAGAAATCAAAGAGATTGACAAAAGCAGAAATCTACCTTATTCCATGCTCAAAGTGCATGCTACCAATGAAAGGTATAATGTTCAAAAACGCATGGCAGATTCGCAGATCACAGTCAGGCGATTCCAAATCGCTCGGTGTTGACAATTCATCTCCACTCCAAGGAGCGGTTGGACAAATCCTTGGGCCGTAAATGTTTTAAAGCCCATTAACTGTGTCACATATGTTTACTAAGCCAATCTTTTTCATTTCTTTCTCTCCCATAAAAAGGATTTATTCAAACGATTATTCTTGTTTCAAAAACAAAAAAAACAAAAATATATATTCAAACGATTATTCTTTTACTTTTCCGGGTCAATTCAAACGATTATTCAAACTACTCATTCGAGTTGTCAATTGCCATTAGATAATTTAGCGACACTAGACCATATTACTGTTCCAAAAATAACAGAAAAACAAAAAAATCTCAAAATACTATTCACTAAAACTTTTCATTATTTTTATTTGTGTTTAAATTTTTTGATTAAGATTTTGATTATAGTATTTGAGGAGTCGGTCATGAAAAAGGTTTAATAAATAATATTTTAAGGTTTTTACTAGTCCTACATTTCTCCTTTTTCTCTTAATAACAAAAGAAATATCATTCAACAAGTATATTTCAAACCATACATTCAAGTTGCCATTAGATAATTAATTATTCTAATTATTACTACAAAAGAAGCCATTTGTTTAATTAATATATGAGATTACAATAAAATAAGTTATTCAAATCATTCTTTTGTTTAACTTTAATCTATTGCAAATTTATTATCATTCATAGTATCACACTTCTAATTTCCTAATTATTTTTTATCATCGTTCAGTATACCACTTTCTCTTTCAAATGACAACATATTCACAAAAGAGTTATCAACCTTGGTGCTCAACTACTTTAGAACCATTTAATTCGTCGTGAAATTAGATAGTTAGAGAATGGTACCAATATTCTATTACGATTCATTTTAGACTGCACAAATATATCTCGTAAAGTTTTATCATGATTAATAATTATCTGAACCAAATTTTGGCTATTTAATCTTGGTAAATATAACAAGCCAAACTCATATCTATCATGGTATCAAAGTTTATAAGATCATATTTTTCATTTTTCTAACCTCTTGCATAACAACATATTCATAATACAATGGTTGGTGACAACATATTCATAATACAATGGTTGGTAAGTTTGATGTTCAGTGAATACGAGACAAATTTCACTATCCTACTGCTTCAACTGAGTGAAGAGGATAGAATATGACAAATATTATAACTCATCATAGAATATACAAATATATCTTGTTTTTTTAATTATAATCTATGATTATCTGAAACAATTTTGTCTATTTAAATTCTAGAATTTTTTTTTTGTCAAAAAGAGTTTATCATCATCGATGTATCAAAACTTCTAAATTTTGTTTTCTTTCTCTTTTCCATATGTATCATTTTTTCTTCTCGTATGTGATATATTAACAAAATAGTTACCAACATCTACGCTCAACGAGTTTAGAACCAATTTAACCATAATGACATCGGATGCTTCAACTGAGAGATGCTGTTAGGAAAGTGATTTTAGTTCAAATTTAGTGAATTGACTGGTTTAATTTGTTGAGCAGGATTCTACCCTTATTTTAAAGTTATTTACAAGGTTATACAACTGCTTTTTTAATATTTTAAAATTTAATTCGCTAACTAAACATTAACCAGTCAGAAATGACAGCCGCCCAATTTAACTTCCACGCTAAATGTCTAACAAACCTAGTATAATCAATTTTAAGTTACCAAAATTCAGTGAGTATATATTTTTAATATTCCTAAAACTACGCTAACAGTCAATAATACTTTAAAAATTCAAGAGAAAGATCACCTACAATTTCCATATTTTACTATGATGATTCCCTTATCACAAACTTTAACCCAAAACAAATATCATAAACAAAATGGTCATGGAGATGGATACACAGATGCTGGAAGAGAGGCGATTTGTGAGGCTCTCGGGACAAGATCATATGAATCTTAATAGAGTTTTCTCTGAGGAGGAAGTAGAGAAGGCAGTGAGAGATATGGGCAGTTTTAAGGCACCGGGACCAGACGGGTTTCAACCAGTCTTCTATCAACGGTGTTGGGAGACAGTAGGTGCATCAGTGGTTAGATTTGTCCTCCTCTTCTTTGAGACGGGAAAGCTACCGGAGAATACCAACGATGCACTTGTAGTGTTAATACCAAAAGTGGCAAAACCGGAATACATTACTCAGTTTCGTCCTATAAGCCTCTGCAATGTATTGTTCAAAACCATTACGAAGGCCATGGTAGGGAGACTTAAAAGTATTATGGATAAGTTGATTGGTCCTGCCCAATCTAGTTTCATACCGGGAAGGTTAAGTGCCGATAATATTGTGATTGTCCAGGAAGCTGTACACTCGATGAAGAAGAAGAAGGGACGGAAGGGTTGGATGCTTCTAAAACTAGACTTGGAGAAGGCATATGATAGGCTCCGTTGGGATTTTCTCGAAGATACTCCCCGGGCTGCTGGGTTGTCTGAGAATTGGGTTACAAGGATCATGGAGTGTGTATCTGGCCCATCAATGAGTATATTGTGGAATGGGGAGAAAACTGAGTTGTTTAAGCCAGCGAGAGGACTAAGACAGGGAGACCCATTATCGCCGTACCTGTTTGTTTTATGCATGGAGAGACTATGTCATTTGATTGAAGAATCCGTGGAGGATAAACAATGGAAACCGATAAGGCTATCGCGAGGGGGTCCACAACTATCTCACATTTGTTTTGCAGATGATCTTATTCTTTTTGCAGAGGCATCAGTGACGCAGATTCGAGTTATCAGGAGAGTGTTAGAGAAGTTCTGTAAAGCTTCGGGTCAGAAGGTGAGCCTGCCGAAGTCGAAGATCTACTTTTCTAAGAATGTCTCCAGAGGAAGAGAGGAAAGAATAAGCAGGGAAAGTGGCATTGCATCGACAAGAGAACTGGGCAAATATTTAGGAATGCCAATACTACAAAAGAGGATTAATAAAGACACCTTTGGGGAGGTACTGGAAAAGGTGGCGTCACGGTTAGCTGGATGGAAAAAACATACTCTGAGTCTGGCAGGTAGAGTAACATTGACCAAGGCGGTCCTATCCTCAATCCCGGTACATACGATGAGCACTATTTGTATGCCGGTGTCTACTTTAGAGAAGTTGGATAGTCTAGCGAGGAGTTTTGTGTGGGGAAGTGGACAGCACTTAGTCTCCTGGGAGAAAATTTGTAAAACGAAGGAGGATGGGGGTCTTGGAGTGAGAGTATCGAGAGACATGAATAAAGCTCTGATAGCGAAAGTGGGATGGCGTTTGTTGAATGATACTGAAAGTCTATGGGCTCGGGTTTTGCGCAGCAAGTATACTGTTGGAGATATTCATGATCCAGTTTGGATGACAGGGAATAAGGCTGGTTCATCTACATGGAGAAGCGTCGTAATGGGGATAAGAGATGTAATTCTTGAAGGACATAGTTGGGTTATTGGAAATGGAAGAAATATCAGATTCTGGACAGATAAATGGGTGTCGAATCAACCACTAATAATGGATGCCATTGATGACCTTCCAGCAGGCTATGAAAGTATAACAGTCCGAGATTTTTGGAGGGAGGATGGAGGCTGGGATTTTGAGAGAATTGCTCCCTTTGTAACAGATGAGAGAAGACTTGAGTTTATGACGGTGGTGGTAGATACGATCACTGGAGCAAAGGACCGTTTGGCATGGAGTTACAGTCCGAACGGGATGTTTACAGTAAAATCGGCATACCGCTTACTTACACGGGATGATATGCCAAGACCATATATGGGGTTGTTCTTTCGTTGTATATGGCGCCTGGAAGTACCGGAGAGGGTGAGATTGTTCCTATGGCTAGTGGGGAACCAAGTGATCATGACCAACGCAGAGAGATATAGACGACATTTGAGTGGGACGGATATGTGTCAAATCTGTAGAGGAGGAGTGGAGACTATCATACATGTATTGCGTGATTCTCCAGCGATGCAAGGGATATGGGAGAGGTTTGTTCCCAGGACGAGAAGAGCAACATTTTATTCTATGCCATTGCTGGAATGGCTGTACAAAAATCTTTCAGATAAGGGTGCAAGAGGAGTCTTTCCATGGGCCACGATCTTTGCATTAGCAGCTTGGTGGAAATGGAAGTGGAGATGTGGAAATGTGTTTGGCGATAATCGGTTGTGGAAGGATCGAGTTAAATTTTTACGTGACTTGGCGACACAAGTGAGTTTAGCAAACAAAGCAGAGAAGATAGCCAAGAAGGAGATACATATGGTTGAGATTATGGTAGGATGGAGGCCACCTCAGATTGGATGGATGAAACTGAACACAGATGGGGCTTCGCACGGGAATCCTGGACCGGCTACTGCAGGAGGAGTGATGAGGAATGGGGAAGGTGAGTGGTGTGGTGGGTTTGCGATAAATTTAGGAAGATGCAAGGCACCATTGGCGGAGCTATGGGGGGTGTACTATGGTTTAGTGGCTGCGTGGGGGAGAGGCTTTCGAAGGCTGGAGGTTGAGGTAGATTCTAGGATGGTGGTAGAGTTTCTTACTGAAGGGATTGAAGATACTCATCCGCTATCATTCCTGGTACGCTTGTGTCATGGCTTATTAACAAAGGACTGGTTGGTCCGCATCGTTCATGTTTATAGGAAAGCAAACCGTCTTGCTGATGGGTTGGCTAACCTTGCTTTTTCGCTTCCGTTGGGCGTTAATAATTTTGATGTTGCACCAAGTGAGTTAGTGGATTTATTATTGGAGGATGTTGCTGGACCATTGCGGCCACGACAAACTCGAGTTGTAGGCTGAAGTTTGTTTGATTCTTTTAATAAAATTTGGGAGTGAACCTCCCATATTCCTACCAAAAAAAAAAACAAAATGGTCATGGTAATAGACGCTGTTCGGAGAATAGACGCTGTAGGTGCCAAGCGCTATATAAAAGTGATATTAGTGAGGTACGTGATGTTCTACTGAATCTAATAAGCAATGCACAAAGACTATAAAGATTGACGAAAACTGCAGATCAAGAGAGCCAAAGATAAAAAGAAATCTGAGGAATCTTGAACTTTTAAAATCAACATACTATGCATACTATCATATCCAGGTTTTTAGAAATAATCCGTTAACATTTTTTGTGTGTTTTTTTTAAATGAATCCTGCATTTTTAAAGCGCAAACCAGAATCTAGTTTACATGTTTATAGATTATGACCTCTCCCTTCTAATATTAATTATATACTATTCATACTGATAACAAATCTTACAACAAAATTATTTTATACAAATCTTATAACACAAATTAAATATAACTTCATTATATTGATCAAACCTACAAACAAATCTTATAACGAAATTATTTATACTGATAGCAAAACAATCTACAGTTTTTAATTCTATAACAAAAAAATATAAGCTAAGCTCCTTCCAATCAAACCTTAAATGGATACTGAAATGAAACAAATGAAGCTAAAGTGACATAAGCAACACGAGTTCAGACCCTAATATGTGCGTCGTTATTTTCTTCTCATATGTGTCGGTTGACACTTCTCTTTTAGGAACATCCAACTTAATTCTGCCCCCGCGAGCTATCGAATACCCAATTTGTATGATAACTTTTGGTTCAAGTTCTCTTGTTGTATCAAACAGACAATACAATAGTAATGAAATTTATTGTTCTTAGCAACACAAATGATATCCATTGGACTGAACTTGGAAAACATTAATCTAATATGCCAAACTTTTTTTATGGATGCTTTAGAGTTTATAAATATGCTGTTGAGTAAAATTCATTTTTCATGCAACCTCTTGATCATATTACATGGAAGAGATTATTCTGATGGTACATTTACGTGTACATACATCAAAGCGCCGAAAAGGAGAGATAGTTCCTTTGTCGTTATTACCATATGAAACTCATAAGAAATTCAAGTCATAAAATAGAAAATAGCAGCAGAATAATTATTAATTATATTGGTTAAATATGGCAGCTTTGATTATTCGTACATCTCTAGCCTCCTTCACACGGATATACTGCAACATTCGAAAACCCAAGAAATGTATCATGACATTGGTGAAAAAATGACACTATCGACTAAAAAGAACTATGTTTATGTGGTAGTTTAGTCCAAATCCAGTACTTTTATGTATCTTTTGGTGTCAAGTATGTAGTGAGATATTTTCTATTGAAATATCTGTGGAAAAGATCTAAAATAAAACAAAGTTATTGAGACGTACCTGTCACAATTGGTGTTGAAACCAATGGGGTATGAAAGTGAAACACCACAAGAGGTAGGGAGTGTGGCCACAAGGTGGAGATTGAGGCCTTTAATTTCCTTACCCGCTGATTTAAGGCACTCACATACTTGTCGGCGATCCGGTGTGGTCTGAGCCAATTGATTCAGTGATTTGACTGCCACACAGCAGCTTGATGGCAATGGACCACCGTTGGTCAAGTAGCTGATACACTGTGCCATTGTGGTAGTCACTGTGCCACACGTTAGGAGTGACTCTGTTGGAGCTGCAGTGTAGATTGCAAGGACGAGGAGGCATGTGATGATCTTTGAAGCAAATGCCATTTCTTTTCTTCTTTTTTTAATTGTTTTTGAGTTAATTGTTTTTACTTTGTTGAGGTCGTCGGTGCGGTTTTTATAATTGGGAAAGCTCATGAATGTCTTGCTTACCCGATAATTATGCATAGTTTCTCATGCATGCAAATTTAATGATTAACGGGATTTACTATTAATCAAACATTCAAAATATTCCAATATTAATACATGCTTTCCCGATCTTCGGTTCTTTTAGTTTCAAGAAGTTGTAACATCACCTAAAATATATTTCGATATATCAGAGAGTGTAAACTTTTTATTACTAATAAACAGAGGGAAAAAAACAGAGGAATAAACCATATGGATATTCCAAAGATTTTGTATCAAACAAAGTTTCAAACAAAAAAAATCAGAAAATGTAGAATTATTCAGTTAGAAATGTACAAAATCATTAATGTATACATACGGTTGCACCGAAAAAACGAATACATACGGCCTAGGTTACATGGACATGTAAAACAAGATGGCCTAAGCATAATATATGAGGCCACTCGTTCAAGTCCAAGAGAGTAAAAAATCTTAGACGTGTGGTCCGAAAATGATTTGGTCTAGTGAAAGTCTTATACTCCATATAAATAGTGCAAAATAATGTAAAAAAAAAAAAAAAATACAAGAAGTGTTAAAAGCAGAACGTGGCTAGAAAATGAAAATAATACATATTGTAATTCCATCTTATCACTAGAGGAATACATAACAGAGAAGACCAATTAAATGGAACATCGAATATAAACGAAGACATGACAACACTAATTCTGAAAACAACACATAACATTCAAAAGTTACACTTATATACTAGTGACATTATTTTATTTGTATAATCTCACAACGGTTATATATATGAAAATTAAAACCCTGCAACGTCTACATCCTCTCATGTTCACCTGATGCTGCAACCAACCAAATACATCAACACACATTATCGTACATAGTTAGTAACACTTCATCAAAATCCATATAAAACTATAACAACCTAAAGTAAAAATGAAATAAATAGAGTGAGAGTGAAGTTACTTGTTGCAGTTGGTTCTTGCGCTGATTGGGTAAGAGATCCTAACACGACAAGCACCAGGAAGACGAGCAGCACGGCCTGGGTTAAGTCTTGAACCCAATGCTCTAGCTGCTCCTTGGATGCAACGACAAGCTTGTTGTCGATCGCGTGTGGTCCTAGCCATGCTGTGTAGCCTCTGAACACCAGAACAACATCCTCGAGGAATGAAACCGCCTCGGGTTAGGTAGTTAATGCATTGGCCTAAGTTGCTGGCCACGGCACCACACGAGATTGCTGCCTCTGACGACATTGGAGCGGACACCAACATACACACAATCACAATTGTTGACAGCTTTAATAGCCCTTCCATAATCTTAACTTTATACTTCTCTCTTGCTTAAGTTATTGATTTAATTTTGGATGATGAACAGAGCCAATTGAGTTTGTGTTTATATAGAGAGAGACAAGAGGGCAAATGCATAAGTGAGAGTAGATTGTGTGAGGTAAGTAGTTGGTTTCATTTAATGCATTGCCTCCTACTATGTTTTATCTTCTCTCATCTTTGTTTTTATGTAGTTTAATAGATTACTACACACTCATCTACTTTTTGTTTGTCAGATCAGATCAAAAAATGTAATTCATTATTGTATGCACATAAAAGACTAGTCATTTCTCACAGAAATACAATTCAGTGACTTGTCAACGTTGGTATACTATAAGAATTACGTCATACAAGTAATAAATTGGAAGAGAAAAGTAAATTTCATAATTGTGTCACCTACAAATTCGAAGTGTCCATCTAAAACTTACACATATTCTAATTAACGACTTTAGATTCAAACGGAGCCAAACACATCCGATTACTCAGATAAAACGGTTGTTGAAAGAAAAAAACTCGGAAAATAAATATCATGAAGCATTCTGACTTCATTTTTGAATTTAGATTGTGGATATTCTATCCATGGAAACAAAATTACAACATCTTCTAAATAATAGGCCTGTTCTTTTCAAAGACTCTGACGCAGGAACCTGCGTCAAAACTTATAACTAACTTCTCGCCCAACTATGTGGAGACTACCACCGCCGGCGGTACTTTTGATGCCCGAAACCAGCCGCATCACCATTTTAAGTGACGCTATTTAATACAGCGGCAGAAGAGCTATCGGAAATCCTTGTAAATGTTGATGGCTGCGTCACTTGATTATTAAGCCATTTTTGATTTTGCCTAATTTGATGACTGATTTTTGATCGCAGGTCCCTGCGTCAGAGTCTTTGAAAAGAACAGGCCTAATATATAAAACTACGGGTCAATCCATTTGTTAATTGGTTTTGAGTTCGAATGCCAAATTTAGCATGGTATTAGAACTACACGATTATTAGTAGAAGTTGTTTTCATAATTGTTGGTGATATGTTCATGTATTAACGTGAAACGAGATGTGAGATGATATCTGTTGATGAAAGAAAAGAAATACAAACTAAGCATTCAATATCAACATCATGATCACACCATGCCGTCACCAACAATGTTCAGATAGAAAACATATGATTATATATTTGTGGTTTTACGTTTTTTATATGTTGTTTGATTAGTTAGAAACTTGTAATAAAATTAACCTTTCTTGTTATATGTTATGTATTTCTTGCAATTTTTATCCAGCCGTGAAAGTTGATGATTCCCTGTTCTCAACTTTTTTTTTCCTTTGGAGACAATAAAATTAAAATTGTGTTAATTGATATGGTTTGGAACAACCTATTACAAGGACACATTTTTGCTTTTGACTATTTAAAGTTCGAACAAATCACTTCGTTTCCTGGAGTTGTTTTAGCCAGTAAGGAACATACATATGCTTTTGGCTATGACTCTCACTCAACCTTGCCAAACTCTCCAACATTCGAGCTGCTTTCCACAACCGTCTCTCTTACAAACCTACAACAACATTTTCAAGAATTAGGCTGAAGATAGAAATATTTACTTTTTTTATTCAAAAAGTTATGGGCTCCATCATATAATTTCTTTAGGGCAGGGACACGAGAGAATTAGAGAGGACAGGAACGGCATTTACCTCGCAAGCTTCTCTCGTGAAGATTGTAACACGTAAATGGAGAGTACGAAAGAGAATGTGAGAGCTGATCAAAAGTTAACAACATAAGAATAGCGTATGAGCTTTTTTCCCTTTGAACTAAGTATTTAATTAGCAAGAACAAAAAGATGATTTACCTGAGCCAAAGAGGACATAAAATCCTGAGGAGACATCAATCTCTGACTGCTCCTTCCTGCATCAAAATACAGTTTCTCAGCTAAATATCAGAAACATGATGTTTCTTAATCTCTGCTACTTGACCCTATCCACAAGCTTATTTAGCAAGGAGAGAGGTTAAAAGGGTTGCTAGTGGTTAACAATAGCATACCATGTGTATCTAACAAGAACATGTTTTGGCCAGTGTTGAGGATCCCAGAACTGCTTGCGGATCTCCGGATGTGTATTCAAATCTGTGGTGCATGGGTTAAATCTCAGTTCAGACAAAAACTCTTGACCATGAAAATGTAAATTTAATGTAGTAATGCCACCAAAAAGATGGGTTACATTAGCCTCTGTAATAATAGACGTACAGGTACTAACAACAGAAAAAATAAACACTAGCCAACAAACTGCTTATAAATATATATTAGCACCCAACGCCTCAAAGAAAGTGAACATGATATAGCTCTCACCAAAGAATGTAAAATTTAGTAATAGTAGAAAACAGAGAGGTTAACTAAAGCCTAAGATATGGGCTTTACGCAACCAAACATCACAATCTTGAGAAGCTACAGCCTAATATGTCACATATTCTTGAGTTTCAGTTTTGAATGAAAGACTTAGCGTATCTGGTTAAGCCAGATTAGTATTTAGTAGTGCAGAAAAAACTCCCTTATTCATACAGACGACATAAGGTAATTAAGAGACGCCTAAAATCAGGACACAACATAGCTAGATATGGAGCATAACGTACAGCTAAGAGGCATATCGACAACTTGAGCAGTGACTCCAAGCAAATCTCCTCCAGAATATCTCTGTGCAAAGGAACAATATCAAACCACACCGAAAATGACTAATTCGAAGCTTATAAATGACTCAGGAGCAATGCTAAACATACCAAATTGACATCGATCATTGGGACTTCTGAGCTCTTTCGGTTTATCACCAAAAGCCAGTGAATTAGAAATTTCTCACTTCCAACTTGGAATTTTCTGCATGTAAAAGCATCCATAGCCACACATTAAACACCAAAATCAGAACAATCTGCAATCGAATTAAACGAAATTACAAAATGGCTCCCACTCTAATCAAAATAGATGAGATGCGAATCTATCTTCACCATCTCTTATTCAAGCCAGCAACAATAGAAACTGCTAGATACTTATCAGATAAGCTGAAGACACATGAATCTCAATTCAAAGAGCATCAAAAAGGAATAAACTCCTCTACTTAGAAAATTCTGCATGTAAAAGCATCCGTCACCACACATCAGACACCAAATCAGCAAATGACTAATGTAACAAACAATGGAAAGATGTCGCTGTATCATCACTCTACATCATGTTCAGCGCAGTAGAAAAACACAATCTGCAACAGAATAGAACTAAATACATCATACAAAACGACTCATACTCTAAATCAAAATTGATGAGATGTTTATCTACCTTCATCATCTCCTATTCGAGTCAGCAACAATAGAAATTGCTAGATACTTATCTAAACAAACGAAAAGATCTTGCCAATTGCCATAGCAGCGTTGTACCCAATGCTCAGCGCAGAGTAAGAAGAACTTAACAATGTGCACCAAAGTAGAACTAACTACACCATGCAAATTAAATCCATCTTCACCATCTAATCAAAGTAGATGAGATTTAAATCCATCTTCACCATCTCCTAGTCAAGCTAGCGATGAACTTGGCATATAAGCTAAACACACACCAAATCTCAATTCAAAGCATAAAAAAACGAATAAAGACTCACATCTTATAAGGATCTGTTCCAGTGTATCCCATTGGTTTCGCTATAGGGATCAACACCTGCAAAATCGCCAATCAAAATTCTATAAAATCACACTCCGTGGAATATCGAAACCTAATCATAAACACAGTACCTCGCGATTAACGGCGAAGATCGGGCAATGCTTCCCGATCACATCATGCCACGTCGTCCTCGACTACACATGGAGAAATCAACAGATCCTTAGTCTCTTATCAAATTATAAGTTAATACTCAGCTAATAAGTAAAAGAGGGATACTAACGGAATGGTACTGTCCCATCTTGCTCATCGCGACGATATCTCCAGGTCGGTAGGCGCTGGAGAGAGGCGCGAATGATAGTGATATCAGTAGTATAGCTTGAATTAACGAATTCCACGGTCGCGATCTCGCCGGCGTAACTATGCCCGCCATAATAACTTGCTGCTTCGGTGAGGTTTCTCCGCCGGTGATTTTGCTCGGAGGTAGAAAGATTGGATGAGCAGCAGAAATGTGTCAAGTCTTCTTTTCAGATTGTTATTGGGCCACAAATAGTAGCCCAACTTCTAAATTGGCCCAACTTAATATGGTAACATATGTTTACTAAACACTGAAAAATAGTATTCAGAAATAAAACTTCCCAAACTAGTATTTATTAATCAATAAAAACGCTTATTCATTTTTATATCAGAAATTTTTAAATCCTAATCTTAAAATTTGAATACTAAATGATAAATTCTAATTATCAAACCCTAACCCCAAACATATAAATATAATTATTGTTTATTTTAGTGAATGTTATTTGGAATTTTCCACTTTATATGTCATTATTTTGAACTGACTCTTAATTTAATGCTATTTACCTTTAAATTATGGTAGTTGTTTTAAAGATAAGGACCTATAACCTACATACAGTTACCCGCAATAACAACAATGAAAGAAACGATAGGGGCCCAAATTATTTTCTAGACAAAAAATACATTAATTTGGAACAAATATAAGATCACTACTATTAGCAATTTAGCATCAGACGCGTCTCAATATTCTTGGTGAGATTTTAAAAAGGAAAATTAATGATTGTAACCTATAATGTGGAAAATTCCAACAAAAAGAATCCTAAAATAATGATTCTTTGTACTCTTAACCAAAAAAATTGTAAAAAAAGAATTGGACTAATTATGTACCTCTTCCGATTAACTTCCATATTTTGAATGAGTTTCTGATACTACAAGTTTCTGATATATCTCCTCATTTCACTCATGTGGTTTTTCATGTTGATTCTTTGGAGCTGCATTTATTCTAATGTAACAAGTGTATATTTGGTAGTTGGTAGATAAAAAGTGAGTAAAATAAAGTGTTACAATTATATAACAGCAAATCGTTTTGGAGAGGCTTAAAAAGCCCAGCCCAAAGAAATAGTAAGAATTAAAATTAAAATTAAAATATTCTGCCCTCTTCTCTGCGAAGCGTTCATCAATCAATTCATCAGGACACAAATAAATCCCTAGATCTAGTTTTGATCGGTTCATCTTCATCGTCGGACTTATAATCTTGTCGTGCTCGGCTTTCAAATTTTGGACTGCTCGGACACTCCCTGTCTTTGAAGACTCTCGTCTCGGTAGTGGCCTCTCTTCATTGTTGTTTTTTTTTCTTTTTTTTTTTTTGCAAAGACAAAAAAAATTAAAGTAAACTGCAATCATCAGTTTTGTCTTTACGCTTATCTGAACTGAATCCTTATGTTTAATCATATTTTTTTTTTCTAAAATTATTTTTTAATTTCTGTGTTTGAACTTGTAACGGTTTTGTCTATGCAAGTTTTAAAAAATCATGTCGCTTATTCGAGTTTAATCTATTTTGTAATATTGGCTTAAATGATTATTTTCTGTAATAACTAATTGTTGTGTTTTTTTTACATTAATCATAGGTTTTTTTTTCTGAAAGTCTTTCATGGCGGCGGATCTTGATGATTGGCCTGTGTTGGAAGAGACTTCATCTTCATTTCAGCCGCCGCCACGGTCTCTCCCAAACCAGCCTGAGTTCTGGAACAGAGTAGAGGAATCCACACGTGAAATCATAGAGCATGTTCATCCAACACTTGTGTCCGAGGATCGAAGAAGAGATGTTATCGATTATATGCAAAGACTCATCAGAATGACACTTGGATGCGAGGTTAGTTCTTCTTGAACATTGCCTTTTGTTTGTGTTAACATTTGGAAATTACTTGTGTTAAATGCTTGGAATCGATTACGTTTTAAATAGTAGCTTTCAATTACAATGCTTTAATCAGAGTGTAGTGCCGTTAGCGTTCAGTTACAATGCTCTGATCAGAGTCTTGTAATACTTATGTTGATGACTTCCTGTAAGATATTTTAAATGACATTGTTCATCTGTTTGTTATTTTTTTTTTCTTAGAAATATTGTGTTTTGTATTGATGGAAGAATATTCTTCCAAGTTGCGGGTTATAACTTTAGTGGTATGTATTTTTTTCAGGTACATTCTTTTGGATCAGTGCCATTGAAAACGTATCTTCCTGATGGAGATATTGATCTCACTGCTTTTGGTGGACCGTGTCACGAGGAAGATTTGGCACTCCAAGTTTTCACTGTACTTGAGAGAGAGGAACTTAATCTTGGTGCACAGTTTATGATTAAGGATGTGCAGTTAATACGAGCTGAGGTTCGTTTATCTGGTCTCTATGGCTTAACCAGTATTTATTCTTCAAAATAGAAACAAGCTTCTGGCGTGAGTCTAATCAGTATGTATATATGAGTGTTTATTATGCATGTTTTTTTGTAATCTCTTATGTACCAAGTTTATCTATTTATTGCAGGTTAAGCTTGTTAAATGTCTGGTGCAGAACATTGTGGTAGATATTTCTTTCAATCAGCTCGGTGGGATTTGCACTCTCTGCTTTCTCGAGAAGGTAATCTGTCTTCTGACCATGATGTGTCAAACAAATTTAACTAAACTTTTTAAAGGTAAATTCAAATTAAGGTTTTATTATCTGTTTAATATATCAATTGCATGAGGGGTTTTCTATTAACTCAACAGATTCTAAATATTGTAAAAAAATTGCAGTAACATGTTCAAAGCGCATTTTCCGAGAACAATATTCATTTTAGCATTTTCATAGGATGAAATTGTAGAAGGCGATTGACGTTGAGGATTTGATTACGCAGATTGATCACCTCATTGGAAAGGACCATCTCTTCAAGCGAAGTATCATACTCATCAAAGCTTGGTGCTACTACGAGAGCCGTATTCTCGGAGCTCTACATGGGTTGATTTCAACATATGCTCTAGAGACATTGGTCTTATACATTTTCCATCTCTTCCACTCATCGTTGGATGGCCCACTAGCAGTAAGAATGTAATTTTTGAGGGGGAGAAATCATAGTAAAGTCTCATCTTGATTTACAAATGGTTTTGTTTTTTCTATAGGTTTTATACAAATTTTTGGACTACTTCAGCAAGTTTGACTGGGATAACTATTGCATTAGCCTGAATGGTCCAGTCAACCTTTCCTCACTACCAGAAATCGCTGGTATGCATTTCCGCAAGTTTATGTAAACTGAGATTTTTTTTATTTTATTTGCATTTCTTTGTTTGTTTTTTGTAGCTGAGACTCCAGAAAATGGCGGGCAAGATCTACTGCTGACCAGTGAGTTCCTCAAGGAATGTTTGGAGTTGTACTCTGTACCTTCAAGAGGATTTGAGACAAACCCACGTGTGTTTCCAGTGAGGCATCTCAATATTGTTGATCCACTTAAGGAAAATAACAATCTTGGTCGCAGCGTTAGCAAAGGTTTACTGCTATATATCTTTTTTCTCCAACCATCACAAGAAAGAACTGTATAAACTTGATTTAAATCGTTAAAATTAGTATGTTTTTTCCATGAAATTTATGATAAGACTTTCTTCTAATAAAATTCAACGTTTATTATTATTACTTTTTCTTGCTCAGGTAACTTCTATCGCATAAGAAGTGCATTCACATATGGTGCACGGAAGCTAGGGCAAATCTTTTTGCAGTCAGAAGAAGACATAAGTTTTGAGCTTCGTAAGTTCTTCTCAAACATGCTACACAGACATGGAAGTGGCCAGAGGCCTGATGTCCTTGATGTTGTTCCCTACGTAAGGTTCAATAGGTCGCATGTTTCAACTCCCAACCATTTCCAAGATGGTCAAATGGTTTATGAGTCGGAGTCTTCTACTTCATCTGGTGCCGCTGCTGGAAATGGTAGACATGACCAGGAAGACTTGTTGTATGCAGGAGGAGCCAATGTATTATTGAGTCCAGCTAGGCTTGATGTAAGCGGATTAGTTGTTGAAACAACCCCATCTGTAGTATCAGAGAGCCTCCAAAAGCTTGAAATTTCCGAAGATGCAATGAAATCTATGGAAAGTGTCTCTCCTTTGAATGGTAAACATCATGTTCTTCATCAGATCAGTAATGGTGAAGTATTAAATGGAAAAGAGGTGGAGAAACTGCAACTTGTTGATTCCAGAAGGGTGCATAGTAATGAAAAGATGAACGACCATGTTGGTCATGATGTACATCACACCTCACGCATGGATCCAGTAGCTGTGAGACAAGAGGATATGCATCTCCAACACTCTGGTCATCGTTGTGTTCCGGACACCCCAAGTGTGTTGTCTGACCTCACAGGAGATTATGAGAATCAGCTCAACAGCTTGCGGTATGGCCGTTGGTGGTTTGATTACGTCCAAAACGGTCCTCTGTCTCCACTATCTCCCCATGGATGGGAAGTAGTTCGACACGCATTGCCATTTGGTCGGAATGCTCCAGGACCAGGACCGGTAAACGTTAATGGAGTTGTTCCAAGACAAGTTTTCTTTCATATGAACCCTCAGATGATTCCGAATGCTAATTTTGGTATAGAGGAATTGCCTAAGCCACGAGGAACTGGGACATACTTTCCCAATGCGGTAATATACTTATATGCTTCCTCACATCTACACTGTCAAAACGCTTTCTTAATGTCTCTTTTATGCAGAACTTTTACAGAGATAGAGATAGACCCTACTCCCCAAGAAGAAACTCACACCAAAATAGGTCGCCACGTAACAATGGCGGCCGTAACATGGCACATTTTCACTCAGAAATGAACAACCGTGAGCAGCGAGACCATCGTCGTCACCTTCAACATCAACATCATCATCCCAACCAAGCAAATGGTTCTTGTGATATGAGTCAAGTTGATTCATTTGAAAGCTTCTCTGATACCAATGGGTCTGCAAATCATCAATATGACAAGGCTCCGGATCCTTTTCAAGCTGATCCACGCTCCCCTCCTGAGGGTAGTAGTCAGAGTGACCTGAGCGTTGAAGGTTCTTATACTCAATCTCATCGCCGAACATCTATACCCTCCTCCTCCACTGAGGAAGATCGGTAACAATCTGTTACCCTTAAAACTTTATTGAGCTATATTGCAATAAGATCATTAAGTCCACTTCATTGTGTTCTAATCCATTGTGGGTATGTACATTAGGGTAACACCTACGCAGTCATACTATTTGGCGGATGATCACGAGTTTCCTCCCTTGTAGCTCTGATCTGATCTCGCAAACACACACACATGGTCTTTAGATCGTTATAGGAACAAGTATAGCTTTTCTAACTTGTTTTATCTCCTACGCACTTTCCCACAGAAGAAAAAAAAAAGAAAAATATGGAACTGTTTGTTTTTTTTGGCTGTGTTTTTTCCTTTGTGTATGTTATTTTTGGCTGTTGCTGCTGTAGAATTTATCTATGTAACTTTATTATCAAAGTCTCAAACTCTGTGGACAAAACCTTTGAAGAGCTTTGTATTTTATACGTAGACAGGTTTGTGAGTGTATTATAGGATTTGTTTTTCCTATATAGTGTCAATGTCACTGTTCTCTTGTCATGACTAATGTTGTTTCATGTTGATGCCTTCCGAGTTGCATTATTCTTCTCAGGGATGATAGATAGAATGTATCAGAGTCTTGGGTGTAAACTTCGTATATTTGGTAAATAAAAAGTTTAGCAAAATGTGTTAACATTTGGTCGAGTTATAATAGTTGATCTGCCCTGAATAAACTGTATCATTTATTCGTGTCGCTTATTCTCAAGTAAATAAAACAAAAAGGGACTGTCATCAAATTACGCAATCATCAGTTGCATAAAAATGAATCCACTCCTGGTCTCTTCATATTTGCTTAAGCAGGAACACTTGTAACATAATTATCCAATAACGAGGGTGGAGATAAAACAGATTTGATTCTTACTTTTTATCTTGGAATCTGAATCATCATCATGGATATGAGCTTCTCCTCAGTTATTCACTTTCAACTCATGTCCCTATCATACTTGCGTCTCATAGATTGTTCTTGAGCACTAGGTTGATTCTCCTACTTACAAACGCTTTGTTTCTAACTATGAGTTTGCATGATCACCAAATCGGCCTATTCAGCCAGATTAATTGTGGCCTAAGCAACCATGATCCTTGCTCACATAATATGTTCTTCCATGTATTATCTGGCAAGGAGTTTTTTTCTTTTCTTTTGATATTCAACCAGAAACCTTTCTTTCGAAATTGCAGCTGGATTTACTCCGGAGAATCAATTTGAACATCCTTCTCCGAATCACCTCAAATTTTCAAGCAGATAGAATTGGGCTTATATTGGGCCACGTTATGGATTTTGTAACAGTGTATATCTATAAGTTTATAGTTCATACGAATATCTCATTGTTGGTAGGGCTGATGTGGCCGAAAAGGTATGAAGCTTTGACCGAGTCCTAGGATAGAATCTTTTTAGATTGGGGTTTGTTGTCTGAACATAAAATAGAATAAAACGGTCCAAAAGGCTTTCTAGATTAGTGAGTTTGGAACAATTATTATTTGGTCACGATCTCTGTACAATCCAACGACTCCCAAGACATTTTTAATTAAATCATTAAGAATAAAACGGTCCATAAGGCTTTATAGCCGTTGGTCATGTTTCTCTCGCTTCCCGTTTTTTTTTTGTTTGGCGCAGAAGTAAAACTAGCCGTTGCAATAAACATAAACTAAACCTATGTTTTTTTGTCTTCTTCTTCCTCCACTCTCACCATAATTACTCTTGCCTACAACACCTCACTCACTCACAATTTCATTTCCTCTCTCACTAAAACTCAAAGCTTTCTCTCTCTATCTTTCTTTCTTTGTTGTCCTCCAAAAAACAGAGGAAGTGAAGAACACAACAAAGAACTATAACTCCTGCTGCTTCTTCTTCATCTTTGTTTTCAGTTTTTTTTTTTCCTTTTTGATAGTTTTGAAATGAATCAGCTTCATAAAAGCCCATTTCGGATTTATGAAATTAGTTTCAATTTTTGCACGAGTTTCTTCTTCTGTCTCTTACTCTTGTCTGCTCAAGCTGTTGCAGGTGGTGGAGGCGGTGGTCACTCCTGGGATGGGATCGTGGTGACTCAAGGGAACTATCAGGCGCTCCAAGCAATCAAACACGAACTCATCGACTTCACCGGAGTTCTCAGAACCTGGAACGACTCTTCCACCACCAGTGTTTGCTCCGGCGGATGGGCTGGAATTAAATGTCTTCGAGGCCAAGTGGTGGCCATTCAGCTCCCATGGAAAGGACTCGGTGGAACCATCTCCGAGAAGATAGGACAGCTTCAGAGTCTCAGAAAACTTAGCCTCCACGACAACGTCCTCGCCGGTTCGGTTCCCCGTTCACTTGGCTATCTCAAGAACCTACATGGAGTCTATCTCTTCAACAACCGTCTCTCTGGATCAGTCCCTGCCTCACTCGGAAACTGCCCTCTTCTCCAGAATCTTGATCTTAGCAACAACCAGCTATCTGGAATCATCCCGGCTACTCTTGCTGAGTCCACCAGGCTATATAGGCTCAACCTCAGCTTCAATTCACTCTCTGGTCCCCTTCCGGTTACATTAGCCAGATCACAAACCCTCACTTTCCTTGACCTTGGGCATAACAACCTCTCTGGTTCAATCCCCGATTTTGCTGTTAATGGCTCTCACCCTCTCAAGAAGTTGAATCTTGACCACAACCGCTTCTCAGGAGCTGTTCCCTTGTCCCTCTGCAAGCAGAGTTTGCTAGAAGAAGTTTCTTTAAGCCATAACCAGCTCTTTGGTTCCATTCCCACGGAATGTGGAGCTCTTCTACACCTTCAAAGCCTTGATCTGTCTTACAACTCAATCAACGGAACCATCCCAGATGCCATCGATAGACTGCACAACCTGACAATGCTTAACCTCAAGAGAAACAAGATCAACGGTCCTATCCCAGAGAGAATCGGGAACATAACTGGAATCACACAACTTGACCTGTCTGAAAACAACTTGACAGGCCTTATCCCTCCATCTCTAGTCAACCTAGCGAATCTTACTTCATTCAACGTCTCTTTCAACACACTCTCTGGTCCTGTCCCGCCTATACTCTCCAGAAAGTTCAACTCAAGCTCTTTCCTCGGCAACATCCAGCTCTGTGGCTACAGCTCCTCCACTCCCTGCCCTTCTCCTAAACCTCACCACCCTCTCACCCCTTCACCAACCTCACCACAAGAACCAAGAAAACACCACAGAAAACTCTCGGTCAAAGACATAATCCTAATCGCCATAGGAGCTCTTCTAGCCATCCTCCTCCTCCTATGCTGCATCTTACTCTGCTGTCTGATCAAGAAACGTGCAGCCCTGAAACAAAAAGACGGCAAAGACAAGATCACCACAGAGAAGACAGCATCTGCAACAGGTGCAGCAACATCAGGAGGAGGAGGTGAGATGGGAGGGAAGCTAGTCCATTTCGATGGCCCGTTTGTGTTCACTGCTGATGATCTCCTCTGTGCAACGGCTGAGATCATGGGGAAGAGCACTTACGGCACAGCGTACAAGGCGACGTTGGAAGACGGAAACGAAGTCGCTGTGAAGCGGCTGAGAGAGAAGACAACCAAAGGGGTTAAAGAGTTTGAAGCAGAGGTCACAGCTTTAGGCAAGATTAGACATCCAAACCTCCTTGCACTAAGAGCTTACTACTTAGGACCTAAAGGAGAGAAGCTCCTCGTCTTTGATTACATGTCTAAGGGCAGTCTCTCTGCTTTTCTCCACTGTAAGCAAAATAAAAAACCCTAACTTTGATTTATTTGAAATAAAGAAAACCCTAATTTTTATTGATTTGGGCATTTTCTGATTTTGAATTTGGGAAATGAAATTAACAGCTAGAGATGGCCATCTTTTTTTTTTTTTGATCAAAAAGAGATGGCCAGAAACCCTAATTTTGATTGATTTGGGCATTTTCTGATTTTGAATTTGGGAATTTGAATTCTGATTGATTGATCTTGTAATAAAGGGTAGCTGACAAAAAAAAAATCTGATCGACTTGGGGGATCAGAAACCCTAATTTTTGTTCAATTGGGGCTCAGAAACCCTAATTTTTTTTTATTTGGGGATCAGATACTCTAATTTTTATTGAATTGAGGATCAGAAACCCTAATTTTCATTGATTTGGGATCAGAAACCCTAATTTGTATTGATTTGGGGATCAGAAACCCTAATTTTAATTGATTTGGGCATTTTCTGATTTTGAGTTTGGGAATTTGAATTCTGATTGACTTGAAAATCAGAAACCCTAATTTTGGTTGATTTTGACATTTTCTGATTCTGAATTGTGAAATTGAACAGCACGAGGACCAGAAACCCTAATCCCATGGCAAACAAGGATTCAGATCGCGAAAGGAATCAGCCGCGGCTTAGCTCACCTCCACAAGAACGAGAACACGATCCACGAGAATCTCACCTCAAGCAACATCCTCCTCGACGAGAAGACCAACCCCCACATCGCCGACTACGGCCTCTCCCGCCTCATGACAGCCGCCGCCGCCACGAACGTCATCGCAACCGCCGGAACCCTCGGATACCGCGCCCCGGAGTTCTCCAAAATCAAGAACGCGAGCACGAAGACGGACGTCTACAGCTTAGGGATCATCATGCTGGAGCTTTTGACGGGGAAGTCTCCCGGAGAGCCGACGAACGGGATGGATCTGCCTCAGTGGGTGGCGTCGATCGTGAAGGAGGAGTGGACTAATGAGGTTTTCGATCTTGAGCTTATGAGGGAGACGCAGACCGTTGGGGATGAGCTTTTGAATACGTTGAAGTTGGCTTTGCATTGTGTTGATCCGTCGCCGGCGGCGAGGCCGGAGGCGGTTCAGGTGGTGGAGCAGTTGGAGGAGATTAGGGCGGAGGTGGAGGCGACGACGGTTGGATCCGGTGGTGATGGAGGGAAGGATGAAGAAGGCGTATAATATATATTCTTTATAAACATATACTTTTATTTATATGATGGAATTATATTCTTTGATTATTGATTTAATTTGTTTATACAAAATGATTTGAAGTTTGTTGTGTTGGTAATGGTATTGTAATACGGTGATGATATCTATTCTTTTTGGTTGAAGTAATACAATAATTTTTGGATCTACTCTAATAAGCTCGTCATTTCTATCATATGAATTCCATTATTTGATTATTCAAGTGAATGCAAAATTAGTGAATACACGAGTATATGAAGCTTCTTGTAGTAAGGTGACACATCCTCTATGTGTTGGTTAAAGTAATACAATAATTTTTTTTTTTAGTTTGCTTAACTTCTGTGATTTTTTATAGAGCAATTAGGACAAAATATTTAATAATGTTGGAAATTTGTAGAAATGGAAAAGAAGCAAAACCATGAAGAAGCCCAATTCGTTTGGATGCCAAATGACATTTTTATGGACCCCTATAATCGTTTATTTGAGTTGGGAATTGAGAGAAAAGGTATCAAGAACATAAACAGATCCAAGTAAAGATTTTTTATTTTTGTTTCAAAAAACAAAAAGAGCTAAGAAAATAGACAAGAAGACCATGATGGCTTCAAACGCTAGCCTTGAAAAAGGTTTCAATAGATAAACAAAGCGTTTCTGCCCAAAGAAAAAAAAAACAAAGCGCTTTTTGTGAAGAGAAATAACGAAATCACATCACAAGTCACAACAACAAGAACGATGGAAATGAGCTGTAGTTGAAGTCTTGTTCAGTCAATCACAGAGTGAATCAGAATGGATGCTTCCTCTGTTGTTGGAACTGCATCTTCTGCATTTACAAAAAGGGTAGAAAATTTAAACTAATTAACGATTATCTATTTAAATCCTTTACAACCCCCTAAAACAAGTGCTCTTAAAAGACTTAACGTTAGATATCTGGATTTCATGGAAGCATCTATCTAACTAATAATGAGAGAGATGAGAAACTATGGTGTGTACTTTCCACAAACCTAACATTGCATCCGAAATGACCAAGAACAGACCAACGAATGTTTGACACGCCTACTATTAAAACTGAGACCATCATAAATCACTCACATGTTCACTATTTTTTTGTGTGCAATAGCTTAAACTCTGTAAGCTTCCGTTTATGAACAAAAGCATATACCTGGCAGATGAGAAATAATCTTTTCTAAGATTCCAGAACCTGTACTCTCTTTCTTCTTCTCATCTTCATCTTCACGTTCAGATTTCTGACTATTTTCACCAGATTTGTCGTCTACGGTTGTGTTTGTTGTTGTTGCTGGTGTTGCTGTTGCAGCCATCAAGTTGTATATCAGATTGTTCAAGATCCCACCATTACTCTCCTTCTCTTCTTCTTGTTCTGTTTTATCTTTGTTACGCAAGAGATTATCTGCTTCTGGAACACCATCTTCCATATTTTCTTTTGTTCCTTTCCTCGCTATTGGTTCCATTCTACATGTGGTAAAACTAGTCTCTTTATCCAGCCAAATAAATAAACTATATGTTGTATTAATTCGATGAAAAAAGTGAACAAACAATTAGATATTGACTATCCAAAACCGACCAAAAAAAGACATTATGCTTATCAGAAAAAGTAAGAGATAATATATTTTAACTAATTAACTTACCGTAGTAAGTTGGGTGGGTACATTAACAGTGAATCTTGAAGACAAGTGACACGTTCACTGTTCTAGACAAGCAGTATTGTACATAGTTCTTACACGTACCTCGTGACTTGTTCTGTCGGTGATACCCATATAGTGCAAAACACGTGCCCACTCAAGCATATTGATATTCCAGAGATAAAACTGATATATTTCTTTATTTTTGATCAAAAGATAAAACTAATATTTTTTAAATCATTTTCTCCTTTAATTTAACAACGAATCTAGCGTAACTTCATTTCTTTATTATATATCTTTCTGCAAACCATATGAGAAACCTGAGGTACAAGTTAGACATTAATAAGATGAACCTAGTACTATCGAAGATCACCTTTGGAGAGATTCATCAGCAATAAGCAGCGCAGATCAATACGACATAACCAATGAACGTCAGACGTTTGTGCAAAAGAAAGAACTCAAGTTTGATAAGTATCATTTTTTCTTCTTCTAAGCATAGACTCTTGAAACCCAAACATACAAATAAAGTAGCACCTCAAAGTTCCAAAAATTCTTTAAAAGAAAACAAACTAGTAAGTCCATCTCATTCCTTAGCATTGCTGCTTGCTTCCATTGGCTCTGCCTCCGTTGAGGTTTCCCCTTTCTCTCCAGCCTTCTTGGCTGCAAAAACAACCACAAGTCATTAGACCTTTTTTCTCATCAATAAAAACTTGGAATTGCATTTTGTGGCAAGAGTTTGCAAACATAATTTTCAAATTTCATACCTTTCTTCTTCTTTCCACCACCCTTCTTCTTCTTGGTAGCCAAGGCTAACCACCCTTTGATCTCAGGGTCATCAACAGTCTTCGTAGGCTGAAGCTCCTGAAGTGAATGTGAAGTGATCCTATCCGATCCATTTGGCATCAGCAAAACTGTGAATTTGATCTGAGCAACAAAATCCCCTGTCAAAGAACCAAACAGCATATCATGAGTCACTGTCAATATCTTTCTAAAAGAGTTTAAAGGAGCAAAGAAACTTTAATCATCCTTACCAGGCTTCTCGTAAAGTACTGGATATGGTAGCAAATGGCCGTGGTTCACACACTCCACAAGTCCAAGACGTGCCCTTTTCTCCTCCAGTGACCTGTATTCTCAGGTAATAACTTTAGCCGTTGATATAATACTTAACAAATATTAAATGCTTCAGACGGTACAATAAAACACACCTTGCAGTGAATGGCATGTGGGGGAAGTTTTCTTTAATCTCGCTGAGTATGAATCTAGAGGCCTTCATCTTCAACTGATAGTTAGCAGCCGCATCCTTCTTGTAAATAGTTGTTTGCTTCTCGTCTAAAAGCTTCGGCTGCAACTCAAAGAGTATGAGAAACAATGGCAAAATGAAGAAGCTTTTCAATTTATCATAAGGATGAAATCAATTTTACCTTGCCATCACCAGTGCTTGCCACAATATCTATCGCGTAGACTTCATTCTCTTCAAACTCAGCATCATCAACCCTTGTTTCTGGAGTGGAAACACTTAAGAAAGTCTTGCTTCCGTCAATCACATTCTGTTTCATCTGGTGGGAAAGAACACCTTCCACAATTTTGCAGTCGTATGCTTCAGCAACCTTCTGAATAGCTTCAGTCACAGCTTGGTTCTGCCACAACAAAAATAAACATAGTTTTAATTGTATTGGTTGCAGTACATTCAAGGTTCAAACATGAAACTAACAACTCAATAGAAATACATTTATTAATATATCATCCCCATATCAGAGTAACTATGACGTAAAAGCCTCATTTGGATATGAAACCATAGCATTATTAGTGAATATTCATCACAAACGAAAGACATCCAGAATCAGCAAACAAGTAAGATCTGTTCAGGAAGGTTGCTAACTAACAGTAAGTCTAGACCCTACTCGAATTAAGAGGTTCTCATCAGAGTAACTATGACAAAAAAGCCACATATGGATAATAATCCATAGCCTAATGAATGCTCATCATCTGGGGTTTGCAGAACATCATCGGTCATTAAGAACCAAATATAAAAACACCTAAGAGTTTCAACATTCATGTAATAGCAGCACCATAAACACAATTGATTACCTTCTTTCCAGGACGAACGAGCCTCAAAGCAACTTCAGCAGCAGTATTAGCAGCAGCAATAACATCAGCTTTGCGTCCAGTAACAGGTCCGTCTTGAAGAACATGCGTGTGTGCAACAAGAGCCACAAACCCATCAATATGACATCCCATATCACTGCCATAAAAAAGCAAAAACAGCATCAGCTATAAGAAAAAAACGATGATACACACAAACAAAACCATCTCTTCAAAAAAAAAAAAAGTCTATACATTTTCAACATATCACCCTCTTCCAAGACAGTCTCATCACTAGCAAGCGGTGAGAAATGCCCAACGGTGTTGTTCACAGAAACACACGTCGGAAAAGCCACACCTTTATCAATCTTCTTCTTAGCATTCTTGTACATTTGCCCTGTTTGCCTTTTTTTTATACAGAAAACAAACAAACAAACATATGAGAATTAAAAATCAATTATCAATGACGAGAGTAAGTAAAATGATACTAACTCTTTGATAAAGGCGTCTCCTTTCTCACAGATATCAACAATCTTAGCTTTTGGCTTGCACTCAGACAAAACACACATCAACGCCTCTGCATATTCCAAACCCCCCCCCCCCCCAAAATCAATTTATAATACAAAACAAATGAATACAAAAACCTAATAAGAAAATGGGGATTTATTTATTACTGTTAACGATCTCAGCGGCGCTCTTGTACTTGGTGACGACTTCGGAAGAGGTGAGATCCAGCTCCTTCTCGTCTCTCTCATCGTCTGAACTCATCTTTGAAAAACTTCTCGAAGGTTTGATGATAGTCGCAGGGGTTTAAGGGAAATGGTAAAGGAGGGGGAGGTGATATGGGTGAGAAGCGGAGATGATGATGTTGGCTCTCAAATAAAAGACAACTAGGGTTTTCGCTATGTGTCGTCTCTTCTTAACGACACCGTTTAACGACGAAACTTTTGTTTTTACGTTTCCGATTGTGGCCACGCGTTATTCTTTTCAACTCCTCTATGGGCCGAACGGTGGCTGTTTCAGGTTAACATGTACGATAATTGGGCCTATATAAGCCCATCTTTAGCTTTCACCAACTCATTTCCGAAAAGTTCAATGATGTATATGATTTTTCGTAGAGACATTTGTTGCAGTGATGGTAAAACTGAAATACGGATGTTAGAGCACCCCCATTGAGGGAGTGCTCTCACATTTCTCAAAAAAATAAAAATAATAGAATAAGTCCAAATTGATGAATTTGTATCATTGAAGATCCCCGTGATGAACATGTATCATTACTATTCCGTAGACTTTACGACATATGACGGTCCGCAATTGGTCAATATTTTTCTTTTTATTTAAAAAAATTTTAAAAAAAAAAATAAAATAAAAATTGTGAATCTCATTCCCATGTTCATTGATAGAAGTGCTCTTATAGTTAACTCTGAAGAAACTGCTAGTGTCAAAATGAGCAGAAAACTAATTTAATATAAAAATTAACAAATTCCTTTTTTTTTTGTTAGAATTGCAGTAAGATGTTTTTTTAAACATTGTTAGTAGATATGTAAAATAACAAGTACTGTATTTATATAATTGTTTATATACTTAACAGACAAATTCCAATCTAATTGTAATTTATTCTATAACACAAAGTTGAATTAAACAATCATATAAATACAGTAATTAAACAGTTTGGAGTCCTTTGATGTATTGGTGAAACACAAACTGGATTAAGCTAATACTAAACCGAAGTCGTGTCAAGCAGCTCGTTGATGACTGTAACAAACTCGCTGATTAACGATAGCTACTCTATCCAACTTTATAATTATAATATGTTTCTTATAACATTTTGTAGTCTTTTGATATCTTGGAGAAACAGAGAAATGTATTAAGCTGTGTACTAAAACTGAAGTCGTGTCAAGCAGCTCGTTAATAACTGTAGTAAGTTGACTGAGTAAGCATCTACGTGTCATCTCCCCACAGCCTACTCTCTCAGGTTTCGCCGCGTCTCCTCTTCCACGTGACATCTCCTCACCTTTCCTTTCTTGAAACCACAATGTTTCTATTTATAGGAACATTACGTCGTCCGTATCTTTGTCGGAGCATAAAACCAAACAAAGAGCTTTTCAAACATTAGCTAAACGTTTGTTTGTCTTACAAAAATGGCGTCAAAGCAACAAAGCCGAGAGGAGCTTGATGAGAAGGCCAGGCATGGAGAGACCGTCGTCCCAGGTGGCACCGGCGGCAAAAGCGTCGAAGCTCAAGAGCATCTAGCTGAAGGTCTAATATAACTTCAGTTTGCAAATTTTGCCGCTCTTTTTCTTTATAGTTTTTCTAAGTATTTGTTGATACTTGCTTTGGACCTGATTAATATCTTAAATATAGATGTATATACTTCGTCAAAAAAAACTAATACTTGTTATAATCTGCAAATGATTTTATGGAAATAATGTACACAAGTTAATCTTATTAGTAATCTTATTATTTTGGCTGATGAGGAATATATATATGGGTTTTGTATGTAATACGTGAATATGAAGTAATCTCTATGCTTTAATGAAATTTATACACATTGCTCAGGAAGGAGCAAGGGAGGGCAGACGAGGAGGGAGCAGCTAGGTCACGAGGGGTATCAGGAGATGGGACACAAGGGAGGAGAGACGAGGAAAGAGCAGTTAGGTCACGAGGGTTATCAAGAAATCGGACGCAAAGGAGGAGAGGCAAGGAAGGAGCAGCTGGGGACTGAGGGTTACAAGGAGATGGGCCACAAGGGAGGAGAGACGAGGAAGGAGCAGTTAGGTCACGAGGGTTATCAGGAGATGGGACACAAAGGAGGAGAGGCTAGGAAGGAGCAGTTGGGACACGAAGGTTATCAGGAGATGGGACACAAGGGAGGAGAGGCAAGAAAAGAGCAGTTGGGACACGAGGGTTATCAAGAGATGGGACACAAAGGAGGAGAGGCTAGGAAGGAGCAGTTAGGGCACGAGGGTTACAAGGAGATGGGACGTAAAGGAGGACTCAGTACTAAGGACAAATCTGGTGGAGAGCGTGCGGAGGAAGAAGGGATTGAGATAGATGAGTCCAAGTTCACTAACAAGTGATGGTACTATCTACTAGTGACGGCTGCAACTTTTTGTACTATATGGTCTGAATAAGTAACCTCTAGGTTTCGTGTGTCAGAGAGGTTTTTTTAAAAGCTTAGGTTCTTTGTAACGCCCCTAGCTAGTTCTTTTTTCATGTGCCATATTGACTATGTGGGGCATGTACTAACGGCAGAATGTACCGCTCTGGAAGTTTTTTGAGGTTTTGGTGAGGGTACAATCTAATAATATGCGGTTATGGTTTGATAATTTGGTTTCTTTCATTGCTACTTTACGAGTAAACATACAACAGAGTCCTTTATATGTTTGATAACATTTAAATTGAAAAGATATCATCTGACGGTGAAGTGACAAGACCAAGCATATTGGTATACGCAGTAAGTTGATGACAAGAATCCTATAAGGGCATAAGATACAGCTAGCTTGATACAACAAGAGTTACCTCTAGTGATTGTAGATACATATTATTTCACAGTATCTAGACTAGGCGATGCTCGCGATAGCTCGTTTGCTTTGTGGCCAAAACTCCACCATAACATGTTCACTGACTTGATGCTAATGCCGTCACGAATATCCCAAGCACCAAGAAAGGCTGTGCACTAGCCTGTAATCGGACAGTGTATATTCTCATTTAAAAGACCTTTCAGCTTTCAAGTTCCCATTAAATATTTCAACACAAGAAAATCTCTATACGTGTTACCAATCCGAGTTTAATTTCAATGTGCACATGGATGACTTTGTACCTGGTACTTGACGTCGTATTTGACAGGGTCCTTGAGAAAGTATTTAAACTGCATTTTGGGGCAGAATGTTATAACTCAGATGAGTGACAAGAATGTAGCTTATGAATATGACACTGTTATGTCTTTACCTGGAACACGATCTGTGGAATGATCAAAGCAAGTAGTGCCAAAGCATAGTAAGGTTTGCCAGATGCTAATAGATATCCTGCAACCAAAAAATAGACATTCACTAATAATGATCATCTAGTTTCATAAGATCAAAGCCTTGAATAAAAACTCTTTAACATACCGGCGACAGAGAGCTGAGTAACGTCTATAGCACTAACGCATATCCATTTTGCAGCCTCAGTGCCAAAAGCTACTGGGAGAGACTGAAGTCCCATTGCTCTGTCTCCTTCAACACTTTTGAAGTCATTAACAATCGCTATTCCCAACTGCAGTTATACAACCAGAAGGTTAATGATATAGAAAAAAAAAGCATTATAAAGATTTGTGGGAAGAGTTACCCCAGCTATGCTGTACAGGAGTGTTAAAACAACAACGTCTGGTGTAAGAGTGCCAAACAATGCTTGCCCAGCCCACCTATCAATTAAAAGAACAAGTCAATTAGAAAAGAACGCTAACCATATAGTGATGCAAGAGATATCTCTTACCATGGCAAACTGATATAGCTTGCTCCAAGCGCAAAATTTCCAACCCATCCATTTTGTTTTAGCTGCAAAGAGATATACTGATAAGTGCTAAAGTCCAATACTTATCTTCTTCCATCAAGAAGAGGACAAAAAATGTCTTACCTTGAGAGGTGGAGCAGAGTATATATAAGACAACAAGGATCCTCCCAAAGCAAGATAGAACAAAGTGGGAGTGGTATGTCCTGCCTGAAAAGGGAAAGTTTGGTAACTCTGATGTAAGCTTTTAACTGTACTAGTTAGATAAAAATTCAAAACCACCAACTTACCCACACATCTAAGACTCCAGCAATTCCAAGACCTCCCAGTAATAGCACCCAGACTTGTGTAATAACCTGCATTTAAGGAGAACTCAGTACCAAACAATCTAATGGTTTTAAAAAAAAAAAACTCAAAATGACCTGTATCAGTAGTCAGTTACCTCTTGCTCTGATATTGCTCCGGATGGAATTGGGCGATATGGCTCATTAATAGCATCAATATCACGATCATACCAGTCGTTAATTGTCTGGAAACAGACACTTATTAGGTTATATGTATCACTAAACAAACGTACTAGCATAAGCTTTTAAATCTCTGCTGAAACCAGACCTGTGTATAGCCAGTAAGACATGGGCCAGACATCATCATGCAAAGAATCGACTTAGCAACATCCTCTGGAGTCCAATGAAAGTTCCCTGCCACCAACCAATAATTAGTCATAGGGCTTTAGAGAACACAAGTAAAAAAAAATATCTGGTGAAAGAGTCAAGAAGATTGTAAAGAGGTTCATATGTTACTACCTGAAGCAGCGGCACCACAGACCACTCCCCAGACTAATGGAGGCCAAGTTACTGGCTTTGTAAGTTGAAGACGAATCTTCCATTTATTCTGAACAAAAGAAACAAAACTGAATCTTCTTCCATTGGAGAAAAAAGGTTGGAGAGGATGAAAAAAAGATTTACAGTCTCTTGAGCAGCTCCTTTGATACCAAGAAGCTGGTTAATACTCGAACCACCACCAGCTGCTGGCGCCTTGTCAGGTACCTGAGATTTAACTACAGTAGAAATTCATTTCAAAACCCTAACGAGTGACTTGAAGAACAAGCAAAAGTTCATCAAACCTTTATCTGTATCAGTCTCAGCCGCACGCACAACAAATCTCCTCCCTATGAAACGTTAACAAGATCAGTAGTACAATCAAAGCGTTAAGCACGACATCATCTATAACTATGGTAATGGAATGTACCAGATGATTCGGTGTATGACGTGGACCAAACGGAACGCCGGCGAGTTAACTCGACGGGAAGCGCTCCGACTCGGTCGACGGAGGTAAGTCTGGAGGTGAGGATGGAGGAGACGGTGTTGAGAATGGAAGTCATAGGAGAAGCGGTGTTGAAGAATCGTCTCTGGTGATGGCAGTTAGCCGGAGATGGAGTGGTTTGAGCTTTTTGGGCAGTTTGCTGTTTCGGGAAGTCTGTGGTTGTAACTTACCGGTGATAAGAGTCTACGTCACAACTTTTGTCGGACTAGGTTGTCGTGCTACCACGTGGCGTGATTCTATTGGGTATATCATAATCACTTTGTAAAAGTACCATTTAATTAAGAAATGAATCTGTTTTAAAAAAAATAAAAAAATTAAGAAATGAATCAGAGGTTAGATAAAATTTTAACAAAGTATACCAATGGTAAAAATAAAATTTATATGTTTTTGGGTCTTAAAATTATATAATGCTTAGGCTTTAATTTTGCGGTGTTTCAAGTAAATGGAAAATGTCGTATGATATACGTTCATATAAATATGTTCCACATTTTATACTTTAAAATGAATCTAGCTCAATTCATATATTATGATTTGATTCAACCAATTAATTTCGATAATTTGCTTATTTTTTTAAAAACGCGTCAAATTATTCTTCTCATTGTTTCTCATCTGTACCATTAAAATTCTCGTAAGAGCATCATTAACCATAAAACTTTAAAAAGAACTCTTAATGAATATTTAAATAATAAATTTAAGTTAAAGAAGAGAGAAGCAAAGGAGATGAGATTGTCTGTGGAAAATAAAGAGAGAGAAAGGAAGAGATGCAGCAAGAGGTGACTCTTCTGTAGGATGTTTAAACACCTGCCTCTTAGCAAAAAAAAATTTTTTATTATTTTCTGGGCTTAAGAATTTATTTAAAAACCACCGTTAATGGTGCTTTAAGCATTCAGAATACTCTGCGAATATTCTGAATGCTTAGAGCACCATTAACGGTGGTTTTTAAATAAATTCTTAAGCCCAGAAAATAATAAAAAATTTTTTTTTGCTAAGAGGCAAAAAGTTAGCTTACCAAAATCAAAGATCTTCTTCTCAAGCAATGTTACCCAGGAAAAAGGAGATTTAATAAGCCGAGAGAGTGGTATTGCATCTACTAGAGAATTGGGAAAATACCTTGGGATGCCAATCTTGCAAAAGAGAATTAATAAGGACACGTTTGGTGAGATTTTGGAGAAGGTAGCTTCGAGGTTATCGGGCTGGAAGAAGCAGACGTTGAGTCTGGCAGGAAGAATCACCATGACTAAAGCAGTATTATCATCCATTCCGGTGCATTCAATGAGTACGATATACCTACCTGCGAGTATACTTGACAAGTTAGACAGCTTATCGAGAAGCTTTGTGTGGGGAGGTGGTCAACATCTAATCTCTTGGGATAGAGTTTGCAGACCAAAAGGGGAAGGTGGTCTTGGGATCCGAGGCTCTAGAGACATGAATAAAGCCCTGATAGCTAAAGTTGGATGGCGTCTACTCCATGACGAGGAGGGTCTTTGGGCCAGAGTGTTGCGAAAGAAATATGTGGTGGGTGATATTCATGACCGAGCTTGGATGATTGCGAGGGGTAATGTATCGTCGACATGGAGGAGTGTATTATTGGGAATCAGAGAAGTGATTTCAAGTGGCCATAGGTGGGTAATTGGAAATGGAAAGGACATTAAGTTTTGGACAGATAGGTGGCTTGCACAAAAACCTCTCACGGTGGACGCCATTGCAGAGCTTCCAGAGGGTTATGAAAACATCACAGCGAGAGATATGTGGCTGGAGGGTGGGGGCTGGGACATTGCCAGAATAGCACCTTTCACTGCGGAAGAGAGACGACTTGAACTCGCAGCAGTAGTTGTGGATGCTGTAACGGAAACGCAGGACCGGTTAGCTTGGGGAGGAACTCCTAATGGACAGTTCACAGTTACTACCGCCTATGAGTTGATAACGAGTGACGAAATCCCAAGACAGCAGATGGAGATTTTCTTTAAAAGCATGTGGAGGGTTGTAGCTCCGGAGAGAGTTAGAGTGTTTCTCTGGCTAGTGGGAAACCAGGCAATCATGACGAATGCGGAGAGATATAGAAGACACTTAAGTGGGACTGATGTCTGTCAAGTATGCAAAGGAGGGGTTGAAACTATTATTCATATATTAAGGGACTGCCCTGCAATGTCAGGAATCTGGACCAGACTCGTACCAGCTGCAAAGCGTGACGCCTTTTTCTCTATGTCGCTATTGGAGTGGTTATATCGGAATCTTTGTGGGAATGTTGGTCAGAGTGGGGTGCAGT